AAAACGAACCCGAAAACCGTGATCGAATTATCGAAGTGATAAGTGGTGAACGAGGCAACATGAGGAAGGTAACGCATAAATGCGTTCGAAACCGCTACCTAGCGTTTCCCAGGATTTAACAAAAACAAAAATGAATATTCGTCGGAGTCATGATGTATCAGAACCGATGTAACGCAATATCGATGTTTAACGCTTGTTTAATTTTCTTTGCTCAATTCAAATATAACCATGTTAAGTTGTGACACGTACGCACGCGTTGTAAGGAATAGCAGCAAAACTTGAGGACAATCGATGGTTCATGATGGAAGAAGGGTATACATATTTTTTTTAAAAATAACCCGTGGCCATTTGACCACTGGTCATTTTTAAAAGGGCGGTATGTTGTATCCTAACCCTTCTTCCATAATTGAGATTAATAATATTTGATGATTTTTATATATTATCTTTTTACTTGTTTTTTTTAATGAGTGAAACACACCAAAGCGCACCAAACTGCAAAACACCAGGTGTTGTTAAGTAATGAACGAGAGGAGGGCTAGGATGACAGAATTGCAACCTTGCTTCAAGGCAAAGGCAGTGAAAGGAAGCAGAGGCGCCTTTGTCTAAGTCATAACCACAGAAAGCCAGGAATCATCACTGATTGTGTGTTAGGGATTCCGAGCTAATTAGAACACGTGCACACAGAAAGGGAGGTAGAAGCACGCCTTGTTCTCCTGCAGCTGAGGAAACATAGATAAACCCAAGAAGGCCAAGAATTAAATTAAGTGGGTCAGCTCAAGGCTGTGTGCACAGGGGGGGGAGGCAGAGACAGTGCGGGGGTCACCAGAAGTTCGCGTTCGCCTAGTTAAGACAAAAAGCTCAATTATTCTGTATTGCTATTAAAGTAACGTTAAAGTCGGAATTTAACAACAGGGTAGGCTAAAGTTTGATATTCACACCCACTCCAATTAAACCAGGTCACAAGTACGCCTACTGAACCATCACCATCATTAAGTCAATATGAAATGTTATTTCCATACTTTAATGCTTTCTATACAACTCGACCCGAAGCATATGCATGAAAAGACAAAAGTAAAACTTATGAAAAGCCAGGATAACGGGATGAATCACCACCAGGTCGAATATAAATACATAATAAAAAACGATGTTAAACCCAGGGTCGGAGAGAAAGGGAGATCCCGGCCGTCTTTGTATCCCCGCAGCGCGGGAGGGGAGTGTGTGTACGCTCGGGGAAACACCCCCACTTGAGTCAAGCACCACGATGGGAAACGACAGACCTTGGGTTACATACAGGAATCATGGCTGTGAAATAGTAAGGGACAAATGTTAACTTAAAACTTTTGGCCATTTCTTTGTGCGCCGGGTCGGAGAGAGCGTTGCCCCTCCCTCCAGGTGGTGCGAACAAAGACGCCTATGAGACATTTGTGACGTCTGTGTTTTGGGTTCATGGGGAAGGCCAGACAGGAGATAATGTTGCACCCAGACAGAGAGACGACCTCGAGGCAATTTGTAACACCTGATTGTTTGCTCGTGGGTTTTATGGAGGGAGTGGGACAACGGAATACCGTGAGTGATGCACACAAGGACATACGGACGTACGGACACACACATGGACACACCTGCCTACGGACAGATCCTGACACAGCAAAAATCGAAAAGAAGCCCCGCCTTGTGGGCGGGATCCAGGGGGAATTTTCGGCATAAAGTAAAGGATCCTGAGCAGTGGAAATCAGTGCGACGGGAGGGTCGACTCAGGAACGAGTGCGACCAGAGTGGGTCCACTCAGGAGTGCGACCAGCGGGTCCACTCAGGAGTGCGACCAGAGGGTCGACTCAGGAGCGAGGGCGACCAGCGGGTCGACCCAGGAGCGAGCTCGACCGGGAGGGTCGACTCAGGAGCGAGCTGCGACCAGCGGGTCGGCTCGACTCATCTTCAGCTCGTCAACCTCTGCCGAATCGGGGGTCTCTGCTGCCACCGGAGTGGTGAGCATCGCGGATCGGCGACAACCCAGAGCTGCACGCTACGAGCGAGTTGTGGGCGCCACCTACCGACCGGGTTCCGAACTGCGACAGCGTATCAACGGGCATCCGAACCAGTTCGCCACGGTGACAGGGGATCAACTGATACGTATGACGCGCACCGCCCCCTCACCACACGACCACCAGGCGTCTGTTTGACCTAAAGAATCGACTCCGAACACTGACTATTCAAGACAACTCTTACCACTCAAAAACACTCGAACCCATAAGCCATCCGTGGCTGGAAAGCATCGCAACGAGACCGAGTGATGGCCCTCCGTCGTTTATAAGAGTATTCTTAATTTTTATCTTTAATATTTAGTGGGCTGTACTCTTAATCGCATAAATTCCCAACAGATCCATCAATACGAACTGATTCTTGGCACCTCCTTCCGCCGAGCCACGCTCACGTGGGGAGTGGTGGCCCACCGGATCCTTATCAGGTGATCTGGTCCCCAATTAGTAAACTTGGTATAAGATAACGAGCTTCGGAAAAGGAGCACCGTCGCAGGCCCTTACTCCGAGCCGTTCTGTTGTCAGATAACCTGCCGATGTATCTGTTGAGATTGGTGCCTTTAAGAATAATAACTGTTTTTGATTGTGTTTTTTTATCGCCGTATAATCTTTCAAGTATCTTTCAGTCATAATCGCCGCACGTACTCGCATCCTCTACAGAATATTCAACTGTCCCGTGACCCAAGGTGTTAACAACGTGATAAGGGTTGCGTATGGTCAATAAGGAGTGTGGTACTGCGTGAACAATATTGAGTATAATCATTCATTAGCGTTAAGGTTTTCTTAGCATAGTATTTGCATATTTCAACGACTCTCTCTCTCACTAACAACCATCGCGTTATGAACAATATTGAGTATAATCATTCATTAACATTAAGGTTTTCTTAGCATAGTATTTGCATATTTCAACGACTCTCTCTCTCACTAACAACCATCGCGTTATGAACAATATTGAGTATAATCATTCATTAACATTAAGGTTTTCTTAGCATAGTATTTGCGTGTTTTAACGACTCTCTCTCACTAACAACCATCGCGTTATGCGGGATCCATGTGCAGTTGTCAAAGTGAAATCAGACAATCGTTGATGATACTGTATTGATGCCGTGTTGACGTTCCGGGATTGAGAGTTCGCATATTATATCATAGTTAAGGTTGAATTAGTAATAAATTGATTAATACAGAAGTGGTTGTGTGATTCTTTCCTGAAATCTATGCATAAGATCTGCTTCTGCGTTGAGATTTGAACTTGGTGACCTTAATAAACACACTAACACATACTCAGTAAATGTTAAAGCGATAACGGGGTGAACCGGGGACCTAAAAATATAACCACGAATAAAAACTCTGGGAATGTTAAAGCGAGAATGAGACGAACCTAGACAACGATGCCGAGTTAATCTAAGTTAATCTTGCATACTTACACCACACCTGCATAACTGCATACGATTAATTGCCTTATTCCGATCGATAACCCACCCTCGTCACCGAGGCGGGGTCTGGTTATCATAACGACTTGCGTTATCATAATTACACCCACTCGCATAATTAATACGATTACCTCTCGAATTGGCATAATTAAAATGTGCGTAATTACATAAATTAACATATTTCCGGATAATTACACATTTGGCCAAATTTCATTTAATTATTATTATTTCCACTGAATATTCATGACCCACATATACAACATAATAATTTCACCCACGCACGCATACAACATAACAAATTTTCATACCCAACATATACAACAGTAGTGAGACACTGGGTGGTGAGACACTGGGTAGTGAGACACTGGGTAGTGAGACACTGGGTGTTGAGACACTGGGTAGTGAGACACTGGGTAGAGAGACACTGGGTAGAGAGACACTGGGTAGTGAGACACTGGGTGGTGAGACACTGGGTAGTGAGACACTGGGTGGTGAGACACTGGGTGGTGAGACACTGGGTAGTGAGACACTGGGTGGTGAGACACTGGGTAGTGAGACACTGGGTGGTGAGACACTGGGTGTTGAGACACTGGGTAGTGAGACACTGGGTAGTGAGACACTAGGTGATGAGACACTGGGTGGTGAGACACTGGGTGGTGAGACACTGGGTGGTGAGACACTGGGTAGTGAGACACTGGGTAGTGAGACACTGGGTAGTGAGACACTGGGTAAAGAGACACTGGGTGGTGAGACACTGGGTGGTGAGACACTGGGTAGTGAGACACTGGGTGGTGAGACACTGGGTAGTGAGACACTGGGTGGTGAGACACTGGGTGGTGAGACACTGGGTAGTGAGACACTGGGTGGTGAGACACTGGGTAAAGAGACACTGGGTGGTGAGACACTGGGTTGTGAGACACTGGGTAGTGAGACACTGGGTGGTGAGACACTGGGTGGTGAGACACTGGGTAGTGAGACACTGGGTAGTGAGACACTGGGTGGTGAGACACTGGATAGTGAGACACTGGGTGGTGAGACACTGGGTAGTGAGATACTGGGTGGTGAGACACTGGGTAGAAAGACACTGGGTGGTGAGACACTGGGTAGTGAGACACTGGGTAGTGAGACACTGGGTGGTGAGACACTGGGTAGTAAGACACTGGGTGGTGAGACACTGGGTAGAGAGACACTGGGTGGTGAGACACTGGGTGGTGAGACACTGGGTAGTGAGACACTGGGTAGTGAGACACTGGGTAGTGATACACTGGGTAGAGAGACACTGGGTAGTGAGACACTGGGTAAAGAGACACTGGGTGGTGAGACACTGGGTGGTGAGACACTGGGTAGTGAGACACTGGGTAGTGAGACACTGGGTGGTGAGACACTGGGTGGTGAGACACTGGGTAGTGAGACACTGGGTGGTGAGACACTGGGTAGTGAGACTGGGTAGAGAGACACTGGGTGGTGAGACACTGGGTAGAGAGACACTGGGTAGTGAGACACTGGGTAGAGAGACACTGGGTAGTGAGTTTCTCAC